CCCACCCAACTAAACAAAGCAGAGGACAGGGGTTGCTCTCTCTGGCTACGTTGAAAAGTTTAAATGAAATGTTAGGGGTAGCTGGAGCCGTCAAATCCAGCATTTCCTGCTCCGAATGAAGAGATTTGTTCAGACCCACAGAAGAATGTCTGGGGGGGGGAAACAGGGGGAGGAATGAAACGTGTGTGCAGTTTACTCGACGGTTCGTTTCATTCAGGCAATTAGGCGGGAACTCGTTAAAAACTAATGAGAAAAATTAATTATAAAGTTGGAACTATCTGAACGGAATTAGCAGCATCAAAGTATTTTTGTCGAAACATTTTTTAACAAAAGGCCAATTTGTAGGCAATAATTTGAGCTTTTCGTGTTTAAAACTGACACATGGTGCAGAAATGACAAAAACATGAAGCTAACGGCCTAGCATTCCTTTAAAAAGAACAAATATTCTGCAAATACCTTTCATGCCAGACTTTGTCTGAGACGACCTTAAGGTGAGAAACGATGGCAGTTATTGCTGGTAAGGTTCAACCTTGTAAACTTCATGCAGCGCTGACAAATATGTTAGCACTTGAAGTTTTTGTTGTGTACAACTCTCAGTTACTACCACGCCTAATTTAGGCTTAATATCTTTAAAATTGGCTGAGGTGTAGCAATTTAGTGGCTGTGGCAGCCTCCAAATGTTAATCAGTTATAGAGGTACATGCATTGAATATTTCCTGAAAGTCTCATTAAAATGTGTGTGGTTGCTGATATTTTGCTAAAAGACAAACTTCAAATGGGTAATGGGAAGTTTTTTTAATAAAAAAAAGTGCAATCTGTTATTGCTCACAAAATATGTTGGGGATAAGTCTAAACTACTATCACATCAAAGTTTAGCTGAATATCTGTAAAATTGAGTATGCAATTGCCATTTTTGTGTATTTTAAGGTCAGCCAGCTGTGGCAGCCATATTTAATCGGACTGGCTCCAAAAAAATATTCAGCTGTAGATATCTATCCAATAAATCATTTCTGTAGGTTTCATTAAAATACATTCAGTGGTTCATTAGTTATTTTGCTAACAGACACACAATTATGCAGTCTAAAATGTTCTGTTTCTGTTTTAGTTGCRTCACCTCACTCCCTTCAAAAGTTTCCATTACATTGCAAAACAAATAAATAAAAAACACAAATATTTCCAATCAATGTCAGAGGAAATTAGATGTATTGAACTTTTATTACACTAAAACAGAAGTTCTGTACATCTCTGCCAAACTAACAACAAATAAATACCGGTAAACAACATTTTTCTCGTTCTCCCACCGGGGCTGGACCAACAAAAAGCTAAACAGTACAAGCGTGTTGTCATCCATAACAACAGAGGCCCGTAGTGTCCCGGACAGACAGAGGCCCAGTCCGYGCATCACTTTTTTTTTTTTTCGTTACTCAGATAAGTGAAGATGACACAACTTTAACCGCGACTATCTGCCAAAAAACTGAGTCAGCGACGTCCTCAAACGCACCAACACCGTGTTAACTTCAACTCAGCTATTGCAAAACAGAACCTGAACGCAACCAAACATGAGAAATACTCACTAAATCCCGGTGGCGGCTCTTTAATTCAGGTCATGACCGCTGCTGCTTGATGGACACGTTCAAAACTCCGCTGGCGGCCGGGGTTTACTCAAAATGGCAGAGCGTAAATCCTGGGAGTTTTTTTTTTTTTTTTTTTCCAAAAAAAATATTTATTTCTTTTTTTTTTTTTTTTTTCCCCTCAGAGCGCTGAGTTTACAGACTGTCCTCCAACCGGACCCGATCAAGTGGTGATGCGTTCATATCCGTGGGATATTTGGGATTCCATCGGGATAGACGCCTGGAATTTGAGCACTGCAAACTTAGATGCTGCCAACTGAACATATTTATTCACAGAACTACTGCTCTCATTAATATATGATCACTATTTTTCTTACATTTGACGGCAGTTTAGAAAGGCCAGCTGATTTTTTTTTATCACGGTTTGTAAACAAACTCGGCTTCTAGATTTGGATTTTAGTCCGACACTTTTTACAGCATRATGAATGCCTCTTGATGTTCACTCTGACACTTCCTGAATTAAATAAATAAAACACACAAATGTAAACTTGGTTTCACCGCCCAAGAAAAAAAGAAAAAAAAACTTCTAAATGCATAAACAAATAGCAGTTAAATACTTTAATTACATAAATAATCCTGTTACATAAACTTTTAGCAGTTTTTTTTTAATTGACTTTCAGCTATGGCTACGTTTTGCAAGTTTTAGCTTTTAGTTAGTTGCACTAATTTTAGCTTTTAGCCATGATTTTGCTACATTTACCATTTGGCTAGGATTTTGTTAGTTTTGGCTACTTTTTGCCAATTTTAGCCAGTTTTGCTTATTTTAGCTTTTAGCTCTGGTTTTATCATTTATTGTTTTAATTAATTTAACTTCAGTACAACTTGTTCTATTTAACTTGAATTCAGTGTACACACTAGCAATCACTTGATTCATCATTCATGCTGCATTTTCTCAGATGCAATGTCTCCAGTTGCAATTTTAACTTTTTTCTCCTTCAAAATAAAAGCTGATCTGAACACATCCAGTTCAGTTCGCTCGTCTCCCTGTAGTCAGGGTGTGTAACAAGCAGCTTTTGTTTCTTAAATTACAGACCACTGACGATCCCGCGCAGAAATGTAACACGTAATGTTAGGTCAGGACAATCATCAAACAGTCAAAATGTATTTAAATCTTAAAGGTTTTTTATTCTGCTTCACGTTTATATGTGCTTTGAAACAGGTTACATAGTGAAATACATCATTTTCCCCCTCCTCCAGTTCAGAGGGTGTTGCCAGGTCTTTCCGATCAAAGGTCTCAACCAGCAAACAAAAGATCTGGCTGCTTGAACCTCATGTTGCTACACGACAGAGAGGGTTAGTTAACTCCACCCGTCCTCTCCATGACTCATAATCATCACATAACTCCATTTCCCAGTAATGTCGGGAACCAGAACTGTAGTTTCAACATATATAAGACATCTGGGGAAAAAAAAAAGATTTATAACTTCTCAATAAATGTGTATTTATTTTTGTACAGCTCAATTACATCATGATTTTAAAAGGATTTTCACATTAACCCCTTTGATTCTTACATTTCCCACCAGTGATCGGTGATTCAAAAAAAAAAATGGTTAGAGCAACACCAATTTTCAACTTGTCCGTCCCTTTTTTGGTCACCCCCCAGAGGATTAAATGTTTCCAGAAAGAGTAACGAGTTCAACTGTCTTTSTCTGCTTTTGTTCAGAAGTTTGTAATGTAGCATGTGTGTTAAAAGGTGTAACATAATTGGGAGTTCAMTTACTCTGAACAAATGTAAGATTTGATGAAGTTATCATTTTTCTGTAAAACGATACTCTCGTGTTGTAAACTGCAGTGTCATCGCCCCTCAGCTGCATTCAGCATCAACTCAGTTTGCCTGCTCACAGTAAGAGTGCACGCTTTTACACAMTTAGTCCAACAACAAACAAAACGACACATTAACAGGGTTTCAAGTCTTGACTTCAGCGATCGTCTCTGCTTCACGTCTCAGTTTGTCTTCAATCATTTAACAGGTGATGTGACAGAAAGAGAGGACGTCGAAGCTCGTGTTTGATCCTCTGAAGGTTGGTTTGTGCTGCCACTGCCCGACGRCGGGAGAATCTGAGGCCGGAGCGGTCCTGTACAGTTTGGAGGGCAGTGTTGATACGAGACGCCGCTGAGTGCCTTCTCCCCGAGGCGTCCTGACGACAGGCTCTAGCGGCTCTTGTTCTTTTTGGCATTTCCCTAAAAGAAACAAACAAAAAAGAGAAGGATGAGCGTTTCGATGCTGTTGGTCCWGACAGTCCACGTTTGTATTTTTATTTCAAATTCTAAAAGCGTGCAGAGGCTGGTCGTGGCATTTTTTTTTCTTTTTTTGGGGGGGAGGGTACAAAATAAATGGCCACAGGTGGAAGACAAACATGTTCTGGCCCGTGACTTCCTGACACGTAGCCCTCGGTGTAGCATGCAAGCAGGAACACGCAGCCCCGAGGAACGGGCCTCTCCTTAACGACTTTCTCAGACGGCTCCAGCAGGTGCTTTTCACATAAAACACAGACGACCCTGAGGATCACCTCCACACCGACACAAACTGTTTGTGTCGTCTGAGCGCAGTCCAGGGTTCGGAGGGTTCTGCTTCTTGCAGGGATTTTACAATGGAGTGATTTCAATGTGAAAAAGAAGGATTTAAAAGCACGTCTCCTTTAATTTAAGGCTTGTGGATAAAATGCTTTGCCYCACTAACCAGTTTCAGAAAATTAGCGTTATTCTTTTAGGAAAACAAAGTCTGAAACTAATGTTTGTTTCTTTTCTTGGAAAATGAAACTGAATCAGGAACCCTTCCYGGCCGTGCAGAAGCCCCGCCCCCACCGCTGTACCTTGCCGCCCAGTTTGAGCGTGTCGATTTCCTCCCTCTGCTTGCTCAGGGTCTCGTTCATGCTGCACAGGTGGTCACTCATCATGCTGAGCTGGTCCTCATAGCTCCTCTTGGTCGTGGTCAGCTCGTCCTGTGCGAGATAAACGGTCTTAGAAAGTTTCCCACTTTGGATTCATTTTGAACTGTGCTGAGTTTCACCTGCAAGCGTGTGACGTTCTGATTGGCCACTTTCACCTCTTCAGTTAGAGACTCCCGAGCTTTTTCTGCAATGGTTAATCTCTTTGCCAAAGCTCGACACTAAAAGGAGAGAAAAATATTTAMAAAAATATTTAAGTTCTTTTGTAGTTAACCCAGTAAGTTATTTATGTTAATTAGTTATTACTTATTTGTATTTGTTGATTGTATGGAGGAAATAAAGTAAATTAGTCTAAGGCTAAATTGAGTGAAATMAATCAAATGTTTTTCCAGTAAAAATCTGCAATTTCTCTTTTGTTTGTTTTAAAATTAATCTAAAGAAATCTCTTCAATCGGTTCAACACTGCAATCACAACATTTCACAAGGTAATCAACACAAACTTACTTTTAATAAAGTGTGTTGGAGGGTGGGGTGGGCGCGTTTTTAATTGTTGAACATCTGGGTTTCTCTTTTATTTCCTTAGTTTCATTTCATTCATTCATTGGATGTACAGAAGAGAATTTGGTCCACAGAGCAAATAAATATTTTTTTTCCCTAAATTCTGACTTTAATCTTAAAGTTCTGAGAAAAAGTCAAAACTTCAACTTTAATCTTAGAAATCTGTGGAAAAAAAGTCAAAACTTCAACTTTAATCTTCAAAATCTGAGGAAAAAAGTCAAAATTCCGACTTTAATCTTAGAAATCTGAGGAAAAAAAGTCAAAATTCCGACTTTAATCTTAGAAATCTGAGGAAAAAA